AGAAGTCTTTTCGTAGACACTCACATTAGATAAACTCTCGCCAGCTAAGGCTACGAGCACTACACAACAGTTAACCTGCTCACTTTGCTAACTTACCTAAGAATCGGTCCTGTTATATGTAACATCGTGCATTAGATTTGCGAGCAAACCCTTGATCGTTCAAAATTTTTGAAGCAAACGTCTCTGGTCTATAATATGTAGGAACAATATATTCATCAGGAAGAGATTTGTTGCAAGTTTCCGTCGTGGAAATACACTGATGTAGTTTCTAATGACACGGACGTATGTGTACTTTTAACATGAGTGGTAACGCAGACACTAATGATATTAGACAAACGTAAACCATGACGAGACGTACGTACGTTCAGTGTTCGGAAAACTAGTATGAAACTGGCGGAAAATTGCTTGGTTGCGTACGCTTTAAGATCGCTGACTGTCGTACTGGTATTTCCAATCACTGCGAACGGAGCGCGCCTACTAAATTTCATGTAGCAAAAACATCGCAGTTGATCCCTATGGGAGAAAATGCCGGCGACGTCAGTGGGATTCTAGCCAGCGACACAAAGAACAGGTTTTAGTACAAGGAAGGCCCTAACCCTATGTGTTCTACAAGTATTGCACAATTTTCGATACTATTATCTCTGTTAGATGCGTTTACCATACCTTAGATTTACAAATCTTAGATTCCGAATACGTAATTTCGCTAAACATCTAAAGGTCTGCAACCACTCAATGTTAACCGTGGTGTCTTCTTCTGTACTCGACACTACATAATTTTCTCTGGTTTCTTTGTCTACCGTGGCTTTTACTTAAACAGTTTTCACTAAACGTTCTCCTGTTACTTATTCATACTTGCTTATCTGCGACTTGACTTTTCAAATCTGCACGTACTGGAAGTCTTTTTGTAGACACTAAAATCAGACAAATTCTCGCCACCGAACTCTGCGAGCACTGCAATCAGTCACACAAAGGTTAGCGAACGAAACTTAACTTGCGCACTTTGTTGGCCTGCTTAACTATCGGTCCTGCTATATAGAGCATCGCATCTATGATTTGCGAAGAAAAGAATGTTAAAACATACGCCTCTGGCATATGCTATGCGGGGAAAATATACTTATTAAAAGGCGATTTGTTGCTTGTTTATGTCGTGGCGATACATAGACATATACATATATGCACTTTGAACATGAGTGACTTCGTAAATACTAGTGCTATTAGAGAAAAGAACACCATGACGAGACGTACGTACTTGCAACGTTCGGATAACCAATACCAAACTGGCGGAAAATTGCTTGGCGGTGTATCCTTTAAGACCGTTGAACGTCATTCCCGCATTTATACCTACCGCTGACAGAGCTCGCCTCCTAAATGTTAGGTAGAGGAAACACTGCATCTGTTT